TTTAACATCAGTGGCCTAGTGAATCCAGAACCCCAAAACCCCAGTAGGAGAGACTGTCAGATACAAAGTCCCTATGCTGAAGGTAACAGAAGATGTGTGCAAAGGCCACATAGAAGTAAAAATGTACAGAAAATTTTCGTTATACGCTGTTTTATACAACCTTCAAGATATCAAGCTGAGCTAGCCAAATAGACAAGTTAAACTACTAGTATATAGTAGCCATTTGAAAACTAAAAGTGTCTGCCATTGGCAGAATAAAATTTCCATGGATGTCCAATAGGATCTCAACAAAGCAATGAGACCAGAAGACCAAAGGGAACAGGCTATTGGGACTGGGAGAATAAACAATTAATAAGCAACTTAAAGAAACCAAATATAGTGGATAGACCTAGCTTCATTTATATAGATGACGAGAATTCCATAAATCATCACATCACATTAATTAGAAGCTTTTCTCATCAAAATGGGGTTGGCTTTTGGGCACTGCTCAGGGTTGAACAAGCTTTACTGAAGAACTAAGGTTGTATGATTAACTGTCAAAATAACATCAACCCACTACAAATGGAGGTGAAATTCATACAGAGTGTTATGAGCAAGAGAAACGGTCATGAGCCTCGAAAACCAATTGTCGCATGGATAATCTACTTTCAAAATTCTGAACTTTAAGCTTAGGCAACAAAGGGACAAAACTTCGGGATAACCATATAGTGACAAAATATTGAGATTAAGCTGAATTGCCAGATCAGATATAATAACAACATTAACAAACGTGTCCTATAAAACATCACCAAAATAGCAAGAGATCTTGGACAACATTAAGAAGACATGTTGCCTTGAAGAAGAATAAAATCATTAATTGGTGAAACTTCAGATAGAAATACCCTAGTCAAGCACATCCTAGTGATACTGAAACATGTGTACAAGCATAATGGCATAATACAGGACCATTTATAACCCACCTCTCCTCGATCAGCTTTGGAAGTACATGATCCGTGTAATACTTGATAGAAGCCCATGCTTTCACCTTGAAATTAACGACATTACTCATATTGTGATCAAATCTTTCCATAATGAACTCAGGCACCTTGCTGACCACTCTCACGTCATTTTTCAGAGTAGTGATGAAGTGGTCCTCGTCATATATATCCTTAAATTTGCTGCAGCATAAACACCAACGTATAACATATCAATTGTAAATTATTGGAAGTAATGAGCTAAATGTCTTTCAGTTTCCCTATGATTCTTATTGGAAGCATAATGACATCAACAGTTCAGTAACATTAAAAGGTATTATACTTGTTACTAAAAGACATGAAAATACACCAAAAGAGTTTCTTCATTTGCACCAAGGTCAATCTTCTGAAATAATAAATAAGAAGCACCATGACCCACAACGAAGCACCAGCACCCAAGAAAAAAACAAAGGAGGGAGAATTGATAATTGGTACTGGCAGTGGCATGAATGTCCATCATTTGCATTACCTGTGTACTTCTATCATGAAGCTATACCCGTACCCGACATGTGCCCGTACCCAAGCTTCATGGACACTCCCTGGATATATGCATACATTTACCCGACGTGTACTCAATTATATGACATATGTTCTAATTTAAAATACTTGTTATACACTCCTTGGATGTATATCCTACAGTGCATGTCCATTTCTTGAAGCTCATTAGACATGGCTCCGGTTGTTTCACCCTATATCCAAGTTAAAAGCTATGATTTAAAGGGTGGTTCACTGGTTTGAGTGTCTTGTTATAAATGAGCAATTTCTAATTTATAATAATCAAACATAATAAAAGAAACTTAACAATATGATAGGAATTTAAATTCAAATAGCACATGAATTGAAAATTAATAATGATCTCATGTAAATTACTAATTTCGACATGTGTGTGGCGGCTTGAGCCATATCCCCGTACCGGCTTGAGCCTATCCCCATACCCTATACTTCACTAATTTGTCATGTCCCATACCCGTATCCGCACCGGTACCATACCCATTTTCATGCAACTTAGTGGACCATCATCATGTTTAAAGGGAAAAACATTTATTAACGTTCATTTACTGATTTAGAGGTGGCAGTCCAAAATATCAACATGGTTCATATAAACTCACTCTCAACTAAATGTCATACAGTACTGGGAATAAAGGAATTATCTTGCAGCAACAGTAGAGTTGATTTAAAGCTAGAGGAAAATGCATATACTAGAAAAGTTCAGTGTTAGGGACTCAACGACAAGCTGCTTATTCATCAGAATCTAAATAACACCTTACACACAAAACATTTTTTGCATATATAATTCATGATGCCAACAAAAAAAAAAAAGGATCAAGGCCGTTTCGTTACTGTTGTTGTTGATAATATATATTTGTTGCATATATGAGTCTACATGTTAGCATAAATGTCATACCAAGTAAAAAAATGTTGACATGTTGATATGTCCTTTACAAGAAAGAAACTAAAAGCTAAGATACTTCACATAAAGAGAAAAAAAACACTAGTATAAATTCTAGAACACATCCTTCTAATTGTTTCCAGTATAATCAGCATTCCCCAGCAGACAAACTTAGATATTCTAGTAGAGTCAATATACATAATGGTATTATTGAGGGTCTAATAACAAGTATATCTGCCAAGTAGAAGCACCTGTTAACCAGCAAAATGCTTCTTCCACTGTCATCAAAGACACGAGAGGAAACTGATTTATTATGACATTAGTTTCAACCTATTAGTTTAATTGGTAAAAAATACCAAACCGATAAAGTAGTCTAGTATCAAATCAGTGGTGGACCAAGTTGATTCCATAACTTTCCTTGTGACTCCCCTTCCCTTTACCCTCTGTCTAAGGTAATGAAAAGTACCCATTCCCAATTGAAATTATGGAATAAATAATTTTCAGCACTTGATAAAATTAGAGATGCTTTATGCTAGTAATGCATGCTCTACGCCAAGGGGATGCCAGTGAAAGCCATGTTTGCGTCAAAAGTTGATTTTGTTATGGAATTCATTATATCTTCGGTCGATTACAATAAATTCAAAAAAAGAGATAGCCTTTTTATAAGACTCCTTTTACACAACAAAATGAAAAATTACAACTCTTGAGAAACAAACGCAGGATCGTTGTTTGGATCGCTGCTTGCGTGGGATCTTTGCCTGTGCCGGGAGCGCTTTGACTCGTGGACCACCAAATCACAGATTCTGATTGAATCGTGAGGGGTTTAATGATTCTTCCTTCGTTTATCGAAGTGAGAATTTGAAACGATATCTTATCAAAGTAAGATAGTCGTTCTTCTTGAAATCAAGTCAAAGCTCAATTTCAAGGGATTGCCGGAAGCTCAAGAACTCTGCTCTGAAGTACTCAAAATGATCAGCCTCTCTCAAAAATGGTCTTCGGGGGGTATTTATAGCCCCTATGAACAATTGGCGGAAAACAGGCTCGCGAGACAGCATTTGCTGTCTCGGCTGTCGAGACGCGAGACAGTGTTTGCTGTCTCGGCCCGGGAGACAGTAAACGTTGTCTCGGAAACAGTAACCGTCAGACAGTTTTCGTTTTAACTGTCTTCCCACGTTTCAAACTCCGTTATTTTGGCAGTTATCCACGTGATTCTCGCCCACGACGTTTCCCACGTTCTTGAACAGTTAGTGGCCACGTGTAGAGCAGTTACAAAAACGGTTTTGACCATCTGAGAGCTGTCTCACGTGCGAGACAGTAAATTCTATCTCGCACGGCGAGACAGCAAAGACTGTCTCGCGTGGGCGAGACAGCAAAGACTGTCTCGCGTGGGCGAGACAGAAGTCAAAGCTCAATTTCAAGGATTGGCCGTAAGATCAGCACCTCTGCTCTCTCTCTGCTCTGGATTGCTCTGGATTGCTCTGAAGTACTCACAATCATCAGCCCCCTGAAAAAATGGCCTTAGGAGGGTATTTATAACCTCCAAGAACAGTTGGTAGAAAACAGGTTCGCGAGACAGTGTTTGCTGTCTCGCTGGGCGAGACAGTGTTTGCTGTCTCGACCCGCGAGACAGTAAATACTGTCTCGCAAACAGTAACCGCAGGCAGTTTTCATTTTAACTGCCTTTCCACGTTTCAAACTCCGTTATTTTGGCAGTTATCCACGTGATTCTCGCCCACGACGTTTCCCACGTTCTTGAACAGTTAGTGGCCACGTGTAGAGCAGTTACAAAAACGGTTTTGACCATCTGAGAGCTGTCTCACGTGCGAGACGCTAGGCAGTTTTCATTTTAACTGCCTTTCCACGTTTCAAACTCCGTTATTTTGGCAGTTATCCACGTGATTCTCGCCCACGACGTTTCCCACGTTCTTGAACAGTTAGTGGCCACGTGTTGGCGGTTATGCAAAGTAGTTTTGACCCTCTGAGAGCTATCTCACGTGCGAGACAGTAAATTCTGTCTCGCACGGCGAGACAGTAAAGACTGTCTCGCGCGGCGAGACAGTCAAGTCTGTCTCGCACGGCGAGACAGTCAAGACTTGTGTTTTTTCTGCCTTTTTGGATGATTTCCTCTTGAGCTGTATTTGGATATCTTTCAGCATTTTTTGACGCCTACAGATACCCCCTCCAAAGTATTCCAGACTCAATCTTTTATAGAGGAGTTCTGGGATGCTTTGGATAAGATAGGTCTTACTTATGATCCTTTCCATGCTTGGTTGGGTAGATCGTATAGAAGAACCTGTAGATGGCTTCAACACTTGATCTCTTTGTCTCTCAGTCTATTCAGTGCTTTGTAGAATAGTTAAGATCCTTTCGGCATGGCGTTCATCGCTTGACTGTCGTCGAGATCTTGAATTGAAGCTAAAATTTGTAATTGTGAATTCAGCTTTTGCCATCAAATTGATACCGCATTGTTAATCACTGTATCAGTCTTCATAGGAACACAGTTTATACTCATATATTTTTTGGAGTTCTCGGGAAATAGTTTAACCTCGTATACCCGTTGGGAGATAGCCAAGTTATTCTTAAGAATATTTTGAGTGATATTCTCCAGAAACTTCCTGTTGATGGTAGGGAAACAGTTTAGACTCGTGTACCTATTGGAGTAATATGATCTCTTTTTTGTTGGTAGAGATGAACCCAAAATTGGAGAGGAAGAATTTTATATTCTATCTCCTGGTCTCTTGTTTGTTGGTAGAGATAAACCCAAAATCGGAGAGGAAGAATTTTATATTCTATGTTGGTAGAGATAAACCCAAAATCGGAGAGGAAGAATTTTATATTCTATCTCCTGGTCTCTTGTTTGTTGGTAGAGATAAACCCGAAATCGGAGAGGAAGAATTTTATATTCTATCTCCTGGTCTCTTGTTTGTTGGTAGAGATAAACCCGAAATCGAAGAGGAAGAATTTTATATTCTATCTCCTGGTCTCTTGTTTATTGGTAGAGATAAACCCGAAATCTGAGAGGAAGAATTTTATATTCTATCTCCTGGTGCAAAGAAAACTCGAAGTGGGGTCTCCACTTAGAGACTCTGGTTTGGTTTGAATAATCCTAACTGTCATAAGGTTTGATTATTCAGTTCAAAAGTGGACCTTTCGTTCGCGAAATAAATCGAAAGGAAATTTGGTTGTGGTCCTAACTGTAGTAAGGTTTGACCAAGTGGGAGTTCTGAGACGATCCTAACTGTTTAAAGGTTTGATCGTTCAATTTGTGGACCTTTCGTTCATGGAAGGAATCGAAAGGGGATTTTGGTTTTGGTCCTAACTATTTAAAGGTTTGACCAAATGGACAGTGAGACGATCCTAACTGTTTAAAGGTTTGATCGTTCAATTTGTGGACCTTTCGTTCATGGAAGGAATCGAGAGGGGATTTTGGCTTTGGTCCTAACTGTTTAAAGGTTTGACCAAATGGACAGTGAGACGATCCTAACTGTTTAAAGGTTTGACCAAAGAAGGGTTTGAGAGGGAAGATTGATCCAACGAAGTGATCGAATCTCATCTCCGCAAAAGAATATTCGTAAATCACCGTGGGGATGTAGTGTTTAACACTTTGTTTGTAATGATCGGGTTATTCCTAAGAAAATTTCATATAGCATTCTTTCGGGAACTTCCGTTACATGAACCATCCACCCCCAGCTTTTTCTTGCGAAACTGAGTTTATCATTATGTTTAGCTATATGATCGGGTTATCCTTAAAAGTACCATGCATGACATTCTCTAGGAACTTCCCGTGAAAGAAAGGAAATAGTTTAGACTCATATATAAAAGTACCATGCATGACATTCTCTAGGAACTTCCCGTGAAAGAAAGGAAATAGTTTAGACTCATATATCTGTTGGAGTATTAAGGAGGAGTTTATACTCGTATACTTTTCGGAGTGAGATGGAGAAGCAGTTTATACTCGTATAATCATCGGAGTCAGGGAAAACAGTTTATACTCGTGTACCCAATGGAGTAAGGGAAAACAGTTTATACTCATGTATCCGATGGAGTATGGGAAAACAGTTTATACTCTTTTTGAGTCCAAAGCAAATATTGGTGGGATGAAGAATCCTTCTGTGGTATGCACAGTAGTTTGGATCTGTAATCATCTTAGCACCCTCCTGATCTTTAATAGGCGGTAGCTCGATTTTGTCATTGACGAGGAGGTATTCTAATATGGCTGGAGCTTCATCGTCTTCGAAAGAATACTCCTTTTGGAACCTCGGATCGAGAGTTGCGTTCACAGGAATTATGGATATCGTTGGTTGACCTCTCTCAACTTTCTTTCTTTTAAAAAAGTGTTCAGCTTGTTCACCACGTAGTTTTAACTCTTTCCAAGTGGTGGATGGTACGACCCCCAGAGCTTCCAGGACATCGATGGAGAGGTTATTGTGGCATGTTTGCAGGATGAACTCCTCTGTAATAGGATCTCTGCAATTCATTGCTTTGCCACGGAAGCGCTTGACAAAATCGTCGACTGACTCTCCGTCTTTTTGCTTCTCATCCAAAAGGGTTCCGATTGACACTTCGGTGTCATCATCGAAGAAATTACTGAGGAACAAACTTTCCATGTCATCCCAGCAATTGACGCTCCCTGGCTTGAGCCGTCGGTACCAATCGAAGGCGGGCCCACGAAGGGTGCCAACGAATGACCGAACCATTAAAGCCTCGTTTCCAGAAATCATGCCTAAATGAGACTTGAAATAAATCAAGTGTTGAATAGGCGAGCTCTTCCCCTCAAACGGTGTGAAGTTAATCAGATTGAACTTCGCCGGGTACGGTATTGAATCCCATTCCCTTGGATAGGGACATGGAATACCCGTCTTCCTAACTTCTTGAGCCGTCATCAAAGCTTTGATTTTGTTTTTAAGCTCTTTCATTTTCCCTTTATCGTCTATGTCTTCATTCGAAGGACGTTGAGGAGAATGAGTTAGACCACCCCCTGCAAAAGGTGCCATCGAACCACCCCCAATATCGTTATTGGGAGGATCCGTTAAACCACCCCCAGCGTTATTGTCATTGGGAGGTGTATCAGCCATAATGACTTCATCCACCTCTGGATCACTGTCCTCTACAACATTCCGAGTGTGGTGGCTGGATTCAAATCGCTGATTGGACTCAGGAGGTTGAGGCTGTTGAGTTAACAGTTCTCTCATTTGTTGGATAGCCAACTTCATTTCTGTCTTCACTTCAGCTCTAATTTCTTCACGTTGTTTGGCTAGAGCTTCCTGAAGTATTTGAGTGAACTGATCAGCAGTGATTGTGAATACTTCTCTGATTTGTCCTGTGCTAGACATTGTATCATCAGAAGCGATTGCAGAATAAGTGTCCGAGAATTCATCCTCCGAGGACATTCCTTCTTGCATTCTCTTGTAGTCTCTGCGTCTGATAGCTCCTAATTGGAGTCGAGACATCCTTTGAGCAATTCTTGGATTGACTTTTCCTTTCGGAATTTCGGTGGTTCTTTGGTCACCGTTTCCTTCTCCCTTTCTCGTCTTTGTTGTGAGAGAGCACGGGCAAGAGCAGCGTTTGCACGATGTTTTTGTATGCGTTCTTTGAGGGTCGAACGAGTCCTTTTGACAATAATCCATTCCTCCGTTGTGAGTTTGACAGAGATATGAGTGATTGGTTGTTGAGACAACTGAACCACTCGATGTCTCCTCGACTCTAAGTCCACATGATAACGAACCCCGTCGGTTTGTTTCAATGCCTTAGCCAATTGACGAGAGCGACGTTAGCGTCGTCTCTGACGAGTTCTTTTCGTCAGTGCCAGCGGGCTTTGATTTAATGACTCCTTAATTGAAGAAGAGTCATTATAAGCAGAGAGGTTGCGAGTGGAATCCTCAGCAACAATCAAGCGAGAGTCTTCATCTGTAGCGTTCGACGGAGTCGAAAACTTGCAAACATTCTTAGAAGATAAAATCTTCCTGCATTTGTGAGGCGAGGAAGACTTTGAGGATGAGGATGACAAATACTCCTCAAACTTCGCTTGGTCGAATTCGTACTCGACCGTTGATTCAACCGGGATCTTGATGATTGGTTGCGACACGACGGTCTCGGCAGCGAGACCGTTGCCTCCCACTGTGGTCGCCAGCTTGTTTGCGTCAAAAGTTGGTTTTGTCATGGAATTCATTATATCTTCAGTCGATTACAATAAATTCAAAAAGAGATAGCCTTTTTATAAGACTTCTTTTACACAACAAAATAAAAATTACAACTCTTGGGAAACAAACGCAGGATCGTTGTTTGGATCACTGCTTGCGTGGGATCTTTGCCTGTGCCGGGGGTGCGTTAGCCCGTGGACCACCAAATCACAGATTCTGATCGAATCGTGAGGGATTTATGATTCTGACTTTGTTTATCGAAGTGAGAACTTGAAACGATATCTTATCAAGGTAAGATAGTCGTTCTTCTTGAAATCAAGTCAAAGCCTGAATATCAAGGAGTTACAGAAGCTCGAGTACTCTGCCCTCTCTGCTCTGAAATCAGCCTGTGGATGCTCTCTGATCAGCCTCCTCCATAAAAATGGCCTTCGGGGGATATTTATAACCTCCAAGAACAGTTGGCGAAAACAAGGCTCGCGAGACAGCATTTGCTGTCTCGGCTGTCGAGACAGTGTTTGCTGTCTCGGCGGGCGAGACAGTGTTTGCTGTCTCGGCGGGCGAGACAGTGTTTGCTCGGCGGGCGAGACAGTGTTTGTTGTCTGGGCCCGCGAGACAGTAAACGCTGTCTCGGAAAAAGTAACCGTCAGGCAGTTTTCGTTTTAACGGCCTTCCCACGTTTCAAACTCCGTTATTTTGGCAGTTATCCACGTGATTCTCGCCCACGACGTTTCCCACGTTCTTGAACAGTTAGTGGCCACGTGTAGAGCAGTTACAAAAACGGTTTTGACCATCTGAGAGCTGTCTCACGTGCGAGACAGTAAATTCTGTCTCGCACGGCGAGACAATAAAGACTGTCTCGCATGGCGAGACAGTAAAGACTGTCTCGCGTGCGAGACAGTCTATACTTGTGTTCTTTTTTTGACATTTTGGATGACTTCCTTTTGAGCTGTGTTTGGATATCTCTCAGCATTTTTTGACGCCTACAAGCCACAATTAAACTTTTGAAGAGTTACCAGGATGCATTAGCAGCTGTTCTCAGATCTGTTGTAAAAGATTAAAAAGAGAATGTCACTGGGAAATTTTTTGATGTCAGTCCTTTCTTGTTACTGACTCCAGAGATTAAGCATTTGCCCTTTAATTACTTCCAGCATGTAACATAGTTAAATCACAATCCACACGTAAAGCAAGGGTGATGGCCTCTTGCTTTGCCTTTTTTTTAATTTTATAGATTGTTCGGAAACCACATTTCATTTATATTGAATTACCCCTCCACGATCTTGTAAGAATCCAAAATCAGTTGGTTAGAAGCTAAAGATACCCATTTCGAACTAATATCTACTTCCTAACTGTCATCTGCTGGATTAGATTATTGAAAGACTTATATCCATATCCAGGATGACAATTTTGTTCAAATAAACAAATAAATAAGGCATTCTCTTATGTCTTATTTTCTTTCTTGAGATGCTTTTTAGTTTCTTTTGTAGAAACATACATCTGATTTCTTTAAAAATAACTATATAAAACTAGTAGAACCAAACAATTATTTATCTCTGAGTTCTATTATGTGTTGTGAACCACGGTTCTACTGTTGGATGCTGGCTGGGTACATGGCAGCAAAGGAATAACATAATGGATGGTGGATGTCGGGCTGCATATATAGACATATTAAGTTAACAGCAGGCACCATGATGGATGAAAGATATGTATTAAATGAGAAATTTAACATAATGAGTATACTGACTGCATCTGTCTAATAAAATTGTAAATGTAATCATGTTAAAAGAGGGCATCGTTATGCCATACAACCAAGCAAAGAATGCAATGGATCGAGCCCAAATGCATTATAACTTATAAGAATAAACATAAAGGATAACTAAATAAAAAATGAACCATCACAATACCATCATTATTACTTCCAGAAATAAGAAATATCATGAGAGGAGATGCATGTCACACAATATGTCGACCTGACTGAAAATGATAGAAACTGTATCCATCATGTCCTAGCATCGTATGCTCAAAAATGACATGTTGGCAAGAATGTCGGAACACATCCTTATGTATTAAACAGTGGCATGCAATGACGTGTGCATGTCTGTAAACACATACATAGTTTTATTACAGGCACAAATGAGAAAAGATTCTGCCTATCTACGAACTAGCAGCATAAAAAATTTATATACAGGAAGCAGATGTAGTCGCTCAAGGGATCATAAACCAAAAAGCTGCATAATATGAGTGCAACAAACTCATATGACCAAATTACTAAAACAGTTTCAAGTTATGAGTAGATGCAAACCTAGGATCTTTCCAGATGCTGTGGTAGTGGAAATTTGGGATCACAAGTGTTGCATTTAAATAGCCTGCTATGGCCACTGCATTGCATATCTGTAGAAACAAACAAAATGAAAATAAGTAAAATAAGCCATATAAGACATCTTAAGTATCTGCTATCTCCAAATAGCATACAGCAATATTGTCCGAATAATGGAAAGGGAAATACCGATGTCCTCTGTTGGTTCAAGCCACCATTAGCCTCAACAAATATGTAACCATTTGAATCAGGCAAACCTAGAGATTAATATAAAGAGTTCTTAAAGTTAATTAACTGAAAAATTCATATAAGGTATAAGACGGTGCAGATGTAGCTTTCAGGAGGAAAAAAGATAAATCAAAATAAAAAATTACTGAGATATAGAAAGGTATACCATTCTTCATAGACACGTTTATGCATGGCTTCCACCCACCACTTCTGTAAGCATGTCTCCATACAGTTGCTAACTACAAGAAACAGAAGCTTGAGTCGTGACGAAAACAACATGAGAAACGAAAATGATAGAGAACAAAGTGCTTAAAAGGGATCGTCGTGCTAATTATAACATTAGCAATACTGTAAGCATATAAGTTTATTAGTGTGCATGCACATGGTGTTTGCATGTATGTAATAATTTGCACCAAATAAGGCTTCAAAATAGCATCTTCATAGCCAATCTAGGGGCAAATACTTACGTAACATACATAAGGTCCGTCAAGGTGATGGACATCAAGAATGATGCCTGCATAACTTGTAAGTAAAAAAATGCAAGATTCATGCTTTTAAAAACCTTCTACACCTATAAATGCTAAAATCGAGGAAGGCGGTTCATGTATTTCTTTCTTTGTACTGAGTATTTGAATATCACATAATCTATTTGTATCCTTCTATTTCTGGAGTCAGCATGTGTGTATAGACAACCTAAATGTTAAGGAGAGTTCACATAGTTTGTTGCAGTTCCTGAAAAGACGTTTTCTACCGGGCAACTAGCATTATAGGTTTATTACAGTCTGTATCTTTGTGTGCATGCGTGTGAGTGTGCGTACGTGTGTGTGTGTTCTTCTCAATTTTCTATTATATGTATCAAGGTCCGCATGATTCATATATATTGCTTCAACTTGAGAGGGGTTATTAGAGTAGCGAATACATTAAGGAACTTAAGAGTATTCTGTTTAGTCTATATTAAAAAATTATGTAATTGTAACTACTTGTTCCTTTGAATATAAAACATGACCTCACCTTTCTAGGGTTAATTCATTTTCCCTATGTAATAGTATACAATGTGGGATTCAAATAATTGTAAATCACAACAATATCTGGTGTAATTGTTCTTGCAAAGTGCCCTAGAAGCATAAATTTGGGACATTACTATCACCGAAAATAGCTTCTTGACTGTTGGCATTACTACTAGATAGTACACTGTCAAGCTAATCATCAAGGACCGTGGCCTCTAAAACTAGAGCAGTTTCTTCCATTAAGAATGCAGATCTTTAATCATATTCAACCCTTCATTTCCAAGGATATTTTTAAATAAGCAGAGATAATATAAGGTAGAATAGCCCAGTACAACACATCCTAGTTCATAGAAATGTGCTCCTTTCAAAGAAAAAAATTTGTTTCCAAGGACATTCTTGACTCATCAAATCTTCCAAGAAATATCAATTTCGTCGCTGGACACCATAACAACCCTGCCATAATCCTTTGAGACGACCCCCATTGTAATTTAGATAATCGATATCTAATCAAAACTTCTGGATGAATAGGTTCTCGGTATAATGGGAAGAGAGCATCCTATTTGTAGGCTCCAAATAATTAGAAATGGTAATAATGTACACCATGATGCATTAAGTTCACACCACATAATCAATTCATCTATCCGAAGCAGTGTAAGTTGACAGAGAGAGCCAACAAAAGGGAGGTGATATAAGGACCATTTTCATTTATGAAAAATAAAAAGGAAACTATCTTTGATAAAGTTCAACCTAGTTAAAGATCCAGTATGGCGTCCAAGCCCAAGTACAAGCAAGAAAGAAAGAGAGAAAAGTCTTGAATTCGACATTAATTTGATTTCTACTTGTGCCTAAGCACTTAACCCTAGCATCAGCAAGCTTCTACTCCAATTATAGAAATTATTTTACGCTTAGGTTTTCATTCGACCAACTAAAATCCGCTGCATTACACTCGATGCCCTACAAAATTGACCAAATTCAAAACAGCTACATTGCCCCCAAATTCAAAGTTATGAAACTCAAGAAAACTCCAGATCCATCAAAACCCTAAGAATCAACCAAAATTACTCAGGAAAAGGAACAAATCACTAACCCCATCCGTCGAATTGTCAGCATCCATATCTTTCCTCAACCGCTGATAAAGCTGCGGACTCCTGTAAACCGAACCAATCGTCGGCCTCGAGATTATCGCCGGCACGCTGTCGAGCGATACGGTCCCCATATACAACAACATCCCCGATACGTAAATGAGAGGCGCGAACAAGAAGATCGCTTGCCTTCTCAAGAGAAGCGACAGCATCATCCACGCCATACGATGGATGAAGCTTCTAGAGCTTTGGAACTCTCCCGGCGCGCGCGTCCTTCCCGATCTCCGAGATGCCTCGGGGACCGCCGCGGCGAGGCTGGAGGCGACGGCGTTCCGCCGCTCTCCGCCGGAGGCGGCGGCCGGAGGAGCCGATGTCTGCTGAGGCGGTTGAGTAGGCGTGGTGCTGCATAATTTCGATCGATCGAGAGGCGGATCGATCGATTTGAGTGAAGATTATGTGAGGGTATTTCGTGAACAAGAAAAAAAAAACGTATTTTCGTTTTTTGTGTATACGTCTGTGCTTTGGGGTTGGAGCGGAGAGGGACCGCCCGGTGACGGGACCGCGGGGGTCTGGTGCGGAGCACGTGATGGGGGTGAGAAAGTGGGTGCTTTTTGGTGCGGTTTGGAGCGGGCGAGGTTTATGGGTGTCTTGGCTCGGACTTGACTTCTGACCGCTGAAGAGCGTATCTAGTTAATGATGTTATTAGCAGTTAATCTTGCCGGTAATTCTAGTTAGTTCTAGTTAATGTATTGTAATTCTGTGCTCAAGAGAAAATGAAAAGCTGTGGAATTACTTAAACTGAACTACAGTCAAGTTTGATTTTGCAAAAAGCTCGCATTAATTCTTTAAGATAGGGTTCTCATACGGCCGAACATGATTTATTATATTGGACTATTTTGCCTATATCTTCTACATTACCTTCTGGTCATTCTAAATTTCACTAAAATACATTATGTTTCTCTAACCTCAGTTGAATTTTGGAGCAGTTATATGCTATGGGTTTGTTTAAAATTAGCATTTTAGTACCCTTGGTTATGTAAAAATGAAAATTTTTATCTAAAAGTTCTCCTATAATATTCATATACTAATTTTATAACTTTCTAATTGAATTTGCTGAACTCGCTATTAAATCTATCCAAATTTTATTTTTCAAATATAATTAAAATATGTTTAAATTAAAATTTGGGTATGATTAACATTAAATTTAACAAATATTAATAGCTAGAAAGCTATAAAATTAATATGAATGTTATATGGAAACTCTGGTGTGAAAATTTTGATGTTTGGATGATAGTTGGTGCTAGATTTCTAATTTTAAACAATTATATTTGAAAATATAGTTTTGTCGTCTACGTAAGTCTACAAAAAATATAGTTATAATTATAGTTATAATTATAATTATAATCATCAAAAAGATAAGCATACAAAAAATATAGTTATAATTATAATCATCAAAAAGATTATGCGATGCGTTTTCTTGTTATACAGGCAGAGGAATGTTATTGGCTTACATTAGTTTTGTCGTCTACGTAAGTCTAATGCTGATGATTAGGATTGTAACAAATAAAAATGTAGGTCATGTGACCAGGTCAAATTATTTTGTTGCCATCTTTGTATATATATATCTGTTTTGGATAATTATCAGCCCAAAACTTTGGTTTTACTCTTGTTAACAAGATGTCTGCTACTTCACACCTCTTTTGGTTCAGCACTCCCTGACTTTTGCAAATTATTTATAAACCTTGGCTCAAATGCCAAAAGTGGTAGTTGAGATCCACAGCAAGTTTCTTCAGTCATCCAACAATAGACTTTTTTTTCCTCGGGAAACAAAAAACAATAGAAAACGTTGGTACGAACCATATTACAAGGCAAAAATATTAAAATTAGAAATATAACCCTATATCTACTCCTATGTACTTATAGGAGGATCTAAAGATTCACCGTTCATACTGCAGTAAATGATACAGCGGATTACTCAGTAAATGATACAGCGGATTACTTTAACGTTGTCACTGTAGCATTCTGAAAATTATTGTAGCGTTTACTAAAAAATGTTCCTGCGTCTAACAAAGAATTACTGTAACAGAAATAAAAAAAAGGCCGTGTTTTGCATGCGTTGCACACTAGTTTCACTCGGAAAAGGAAGATCTAAGTATACAATGCATCCATCGTGACAGTGACTCTCGGTGTTCGACTTGAACAAAGGCTCCACGAGCAAGAAAAGTCTACAACAATCACATGCACTAAATATGTTTAAACAACCTATTACCTCTGCACATTTTTTCAAGCTGCATGACACCAATAATAAGAGAAGTATAGTTTCATTTGGACATCAAGGGTTGAGTATAGAAAAAGATTAAGTTGATAAAATGAAAAGGAGTATATTACATTGAGTGTACCTGCAAGTTATCATAAAAAGTAAACAAAATATAGGAGTCAAAGATGCTGAGAAGATAAACCCAAAATTGATATCAAGATGAAATGACTTCATTTAGAGGATCATATATTGCCTTGTACAGTACGGCATAATATTGTATAAAGGAATGTGGGTTTCAGCACATGAATGCATGAGGTGCAGGAATTAATCAAATTTATGAGGTACATGAAGACAAGTTATGAACACTGCAAGGGTATATAAAGAGCTTTACAGGCAATTATTGTTCTCTTCTCATAAACAAATCCTTCTGTGCTTAAAAAAAACAAAGGAAAAAGCTGTGGGATGCTGTACTTGCAAGCAAACTAAGCTGTTGCCTTTTCAAGAGTGTGGCCATGTGAGCTCCTGCTTGAGAGAGGTGGCCATGATTTTCTTGAAGAGGCCGCAACCAAAATTCATCTTGTCAGCAAGATTGCCAACTAGATTAAGATAATTGTAAGGCTGTAAGCTGAATTTTTCCTCTAATATCCCTACCTTACTAATTTGAAATAAGGATAGCCATTTCTGTCTCCTAAAATTTGTATTCAGTACTTTGACTCCGTGATTCCGGAGCTTAGTTATCGCTTCATTATCTGTGCTCATCAGTGAATGCGAGTAATGTCAATGTGTTGCATAGAGATCTCAGGTTTTCAATATGTTATATAAAATATGTTATATAAAAGGCACCTGCTCCATTATAGGTGTTGAACAAGCATCCGTTACATGTATAAATAACAAAAATATAGTTAAAAAAAACTCAAATCTGCAGTCTGATAGAACTTTAAATCATGAAATAGTAGCCCCAAATCACTTGAAATAAAATGCCCCCGCAGAATCACAAAATTCTCTCATCTATTGAATCAGTGCATTGCCTTTTCTAGACTGGTCATTGTTCAAAAAATCCAATATTGTTACAACGTAAACGAGCACAAAAAAAAAACCCCTCTAATTTCCTTCTAATCTTCATAAATTACCTTTATGAAAAATGGAGGAATCTGCTTGTACAAACTCTCACTATCTTGATTCCCTGGCTCCTGTATATGCCTTCTGCTGATTCTTAAAGTAAAATAATGTTAGAGACTTCTCTCTAAGTGTAGATTTTCCAGATGCCGAGGCCATAGCCCAAGCGAATGAGAAGAAGCTCAAACAGCATGTGAATGATGCTAGTTAGCCGCACTTTTGAACCAGGTATCTCACACCAGTTCACAGATACCTCCATCATCGGGATATTTAGATGTTTGCATAAATAGACTATCTCAACATCAAAACACCACCTGCATTAAGGAAAAAAAAAAGCATATCAAGGTAAGTGATAAAACTGGTACAATCGCTTGCATAAACCATATAGAATAAGACGAAAGTACAAGAAATGACAAATTAATCAGAAATACATTCTTGAAAAAAAGCTGCTCAGGTTTTATAAACATAAAACCATATCAGTTAAAATCAATTCCTCAAGAAAAAAAAACAGTTTTTAGTATCTGTTGTAAGGTAATTCCAATATCAAACAAGCAAAAAACAGCAAAGCTAGAAGAATGATGCACAATGATTACTAGGAAGCGCGTAAGCTGAATTGAAGAATGCAAAAAAATAGAAATTGATTTCCTACTAGCAAACATGACGAAGTGTGCCACTTTATTCTTACTGGAAAGAACATTATGCAACTAAACGAAGATAGAAGTTCAGCTTGGAGAATTGAATTTAAAATTCCTTTCAGCTAACAGAAATAGAAGTAGACTTCAATGTTTTTCATATATAGTCTGTTCCTAAACGTGGAGCAGTATGAAGGACTCGCAAGGAAAAATATAATTGTTTTTATCTGAAAAGGCTTACAACTAAGAATGTTAGCCTAGATTTTTCTGTAATTTGTAAGCATCAAAATAATGCTGATAACAAACTGTAGATTGTCCAAGTTCTGCAATTTGCCAATACCACAGAGAGAAAATGCCTACACTTAATTAGCGAAAGAGAGGTTTCTAGTGAAGATCAAAACACACACCTCTTCAATCTGATGTTTGTAAAAAGCTTCCTGGCAGCGGCTCTTGTAAACATCTTAAAGCCGCACTACAAAAGTTGTAGCAAGTAAGAGACAGTACAAATACAGAAAACAATTTCCTACCTTGTATACAGTAATTCATAACAGAAAGCAAGAACTGACATCAGCATTATCAAATGGCAATTGACGTAGTGAAGCAGATTAGTATACCTGAGTATCACGAATTCCTGAACCAGCTGTCAGTAGAACTACAAGATGGAAGCCCTTCATAAGAAAATTCCGGTACCACTTCCTCTATAACAATACAAAAATGCCTACTAAGCTAAGCTGGATAGTGCAGAAAACAAAGAAACTGTGAATGGAAGAACCAAAAAGTCAAAAATAAAACCGTTGCAAGAGCCTGCTTCTCAAGATGAGCACGAGAACCAAACACCGCAACTTCAATATCAGACAGCTTATGACTTGAGTCATCTGGTGAAATAGCATGTGAATTACGTTCCTTCTTCTTCTTCTCTGCTAATGCAAGTATCTGATGGTAAAGAGGGAAAGTAATCAAATTGCTATAGTGGTTGAAGGAAAAAAAAAATACAAGAGTTGATATTCTAGGCAGATGTAAACTTCAGTTAGCTTAAAATTAGGACCATTAAGACTTAGTTTGTAAAATAAGAGGTCGGATTATAAAAGGTCTCAGGTCTAAGACTGGGTTACAACTTATCGAAAAAAAAACAAAAAAAAGGAGGAAGAAGAAGGCGCATTGCTGATAAGTCTGAATTTTAAAACATCGATTACTCAGACAGACCTGTGTTTCAAGCTTTTCGAGGGCATTGCTGATAAGTCTGAATTTTAAAACATCGATTACTCAGACAGACCTGTGTTTCAAGCTTTTCGAGGTCAGTCACCTTAGTTGCCCCATCAGCATCGAGCATCAAAAGGAGTTCACCACGTGAATGAAGCATTCCCTGTTTAACAATGCTTTCGCAAAATTAAGAAGCATTGGTCAATCAGTGCTGAAAATAAATTCCATGTCCACCCAACTAGCAAAATCAGTAATATATAAACATTATCTACACATTTATAATAGCTCCCAAATAAATATACACTCAAGTACTCAACAGTCAACACCAATGTCAGTCTTCAGGAAAATATATATAGAAGGCTAGAAGACGTACTTTTCTTATCGCTTCTCCTTTTCCATGATTTCTTCCCAGCAGCATGACCCTTACATTATCAATCTTGTACTTCCGAACAAAGTTAAAAGCTACCTTTGATGTCCTATCCTTACTTCCATCATCAACTATCAACACCTGTATTAGAGACATAATACATATAATATATCAGAAGGTTTTCAGGAAACCTTGAAAGCAGTAATAATATTCTACACTGAACAAGGCAGTGTCGTAACTATGAAGTGTGACACTAAAAAGTATTAAACAATTACTCACATTTCACAAGTAACCAAGTAAAAACAAACTATTCATGGTTCTTCGAGTAACTGATAGCATGACTAAGCCTTGCACAAGTTCAGTGTGTATGCATTTCACTAACATACTTATGCATGTGATATTAGAGTTCAGATTAGTGAATAAATGTGTTCTGTGCATGTGATATTTGAGTATCTACAAGTGTTGCACAAAATCATACCTCGTAAGTAAATGTGTTATCGGCAGCTGAGCGTCGTTGGAGATACCTGCAAAGAATTGATTGTCAAAGGAACAGAAAATGTAAAATAGCCATTGCCTTACAGAAGTCAAAATGAACAAAAGGGGCTCCCACGGAAAAGTTAGCACAGTTTGCAACTGATAAAAGCACCTACGAAACTAGAAGGAATAAGGATAGAACACTAAAAACGAATAATTACCCATTTGTGAAAGTATTCATTTATGTTATTTTGCACAAAGAAGAGATTTGATCTTGAGCATTCTCTTGGCTAGAGGGTAATGTTTGTCTGGCTACTTGTTTCAATTGTTCTTTCTGTACTTGATCATATTCTCATAATAGCAGCATTAATGGTGTATTGTAGCCATTTCTTCAGTTTTATTGGCAGAAGCAGGTAGCTAACAGCTGAAATAGAGTGATTATAAGAAGTCTCGGAGAGGAAAGATCAAGTTGTCACAAGAACTTATCATATTAATGTCTAAGACTCAGAAAGACCGTGGTGTACTATATGCTGGCCTTCTTCTTTCCTTATTTTGCTTCCAGTATATTGGTAAGCATAAATTGAGCCTATCTAGTGATACACTTTTGAGGAAAGCAACCACTTAAGAATTTGATAACACAATTGACGACACTAACCAGATACACCAACTTTATGCTAATAATACTGAAAGAATTTCGGTTTATAAGCACTTAATAGTATGCGTAATCACAGTATCAGCAGAAAGCACTTTTGTTAACAGTCCCACCTGGTTAACCAACTGCATTGTGTGACCAGAATTTTTGCAGCCAAATTATGAAGCCATGGGTGAAAATGCTTTAAAAAAAGTTGCATATCAGTACAATAAAACAAGCATTTGCTAACTTACTCCATTGCCTCGTCAAGAGCTATGGGAAGCCTGTGCTCTTCATTATATGCAGGGACTATCAAAGATAAATACTTCTCCGCGGGATCAAAGATAGTTGGGCATGGAACCTGGAAAATTCTTGCAGAATAGCAACATAGTTAAACAGAAAGTTGAGATCTAACTTAACTGCATCAACTAACATGATTTCTTAATAAGGGACAGATGCTGGTCAAGAGTGTATGATATACACCTCAAAAACCAATATATTTTCATCAATTGGTTCTACGCTTTCTTTGTTGTAAAAGATTAACTTTCATTAGCATATAACCTCAGTCTTTCCAACTCAAAATTAATAGTAATGGTAAGTAACACAAACATGATGATACCTAAAAGTACTGGGATAGGAAGCATAGAATAACTCATTCATAAATATATAGCATGTGAATATTCAACAATCTAGCCAATATTAAAAGCTAATAGAGTTCAGGCGGAAAACATGACAGAGAAATGCAACTAAAAGCATCAGGGAACATAGAAGCACACATTGGTAGAAACTTCAGCCTAGTAACACAACGTCTGCACCAATAAGGTGCATCGCATTTTCCTTATGCCACAAAATCGACATGAAGCCTCTTTTCACCATCAAGAGGGGCAAACATGGACTTCCTACAGGTTCTTGACGCCCATTTCTCGAAACATCTCCACTCATAATGTTTTGGTCCACACCAGTCTTTGTATGAAACTACTTACACCATCCCAAATCCTACTCGTCTCTAAGTTTTCCAGGTTTACAGTTACACCAGATACATTAGAAATAAAAACACTGCATTGTCAATTGGAAAAATAACCTACACGATTTTGACCCGAAAAAACTCTAAATTCAACCGCGAGAACAAATTGATTCTCAGTCCGGCAGTCCCAAAGGTTCCCATTCAGTGACCCGTAAAAGAAATTTCTCTCTTTCGTTCTCAAATTCACACTTGCCGCTTAAAAAGCGATGACCCGAACTACCTTGTGTCACCTCGAGCACAAATAAGACCACAAGAATGGAACTTTTCAGCGGTCTTGTAATTTACCTTCTTCAAAGAGCTAGGATCCTCGAAGAACGCGTCAGACGCAGCGGACCTCTCAAGCCTGCAGTACGTAAAAACAGAAAAGATTGGAAATTTTGGGAAGTGAACTAGGGTTTTCCAATTAAAGCCGCTAGGGTTTGGCGATTACGAATGCTGGCATCCGATCTTTCTGACGAATTCGAGGAAGAAGGCGGCCGCGCCGAGCGCCAGAACCACCGCCTGCAAAAATTACAGGAATTAAGAGAATGTTGTTGGAATATTTTATTAGGGTTTATGAGGAATGAGGGGATGAGAGGGATACGAACGAGAGAGGAGATGAGAAGGGACAGGCCAAGAGAGAAGGGAAGGAGATGGTTGTGATCGGCGACGGTGGGGAGAAGAAGAGGACGCCATGGCAGCCAACTCATTTTCTTACTTTCTCTCTCCTCTCGTCTCCCTCTCTCTCTCTCTCTCTCTCTCTCTCTGTGTGTGTGTGCCTCTGGCCCCCCTCCCTCCTCCGCCGTTGGAGGAAAGCAATGCTGCATGGGTGAAAGCGCAGCGGTTACCTGTATTTCTTTACTTATTAGTCGATGATTAACAACAGCCCGTCTAGCTCAGTTGGTAGAGCGCAAGGCTCTTAACCTTGTGGTCGTGGGTTCGAGCCCCACGGTGGGCGTTCCATTTCCTTCCATTTTCCTAATTTCGAGGGCGACTTTTTTGTCAATACGTAGGCTAATCACTAGTCTGACATTGTCGATGTTTTATCAGCTCCATCCGTTTTGGGTGTATTATGTCGGTGCCTCTTTTGCTTAGTTTGCTATCCTACCATGTAGATTTTCGATTCAGGATATATGTCTATAGTGCAGATTCGCTGTCTGTACATTAGTAGTGCTGCGTGAGCCTAGCAATATTAGCCTTGATTGGTGCCGTGGAATAGAAACAAAAACTTGTTACGACTAGCTTATGTATTGACATTCATTAGACTTCAAAGCGATCTGACTTATGAGTCTCGCCAGAAAAGTGAACTACTTGTTCACTGAGGCAGTGGTCTGAATTTTTCAGCGTCTTGAGTATGTTAGAAAGATGTTAATGCCCTCTGTGATCATCAATGTTATTTACATTATTAAGAGAGTAAGACGAGCTTTGTTTATTTAATTCGTGCATTAAAAATCTACCAAGTGTGTCTCGACGGTAAACCATTGAACGTTCCGTGATGGACCAAGAGTTTATGGGCGACCCTATTGTCCTCTTTTATTAGATTCATGCTTATCATCGCTTACATGCTAACCTTGAGTCATGGGAATAGTATAGCCAGATTCTACGTTGTCATGAGAAATTAGAAATGATATCCAGTTGCACATTGCTTATTAAAACACTTGCTATACCTTCAGTATAGAGAGAGGAGCCTGACTCTGCAAAAAGAGGCAAGCATTATCGGACTAGTTAAAATGGATGGTAAAAAGTCTCCTCTCTTTTTCCTATATCCATTTTGACGTTATCATTTCTCGTATAGCGATTCTTAATATTTGATCAAAAGCTATATTATTTACCAGGTTCTAACACACATAGTGTGCGGATTCTCCTCTCTCGCCTGCCTTTTTACACTTGGCCTGATTTATGTCCTAGTAATCATATTGTTGTAGTTATTGCTATTGTCGCTCATACTTGGGCCTTATTGCCGTGCACTTCATGTATCCAGTTTGTTAATGTAGTCTTGATGGGCCGCCGGGCAGGCAGTAAGTGTGAAAAAGCCCTTCCATTTTCTCAATTTCGTGGCGACTTTTTTGTCAATATTACTGTACATGTTGGGCCCCTCCGTTTTAATTGGGCCCTTTGTCCTCATTTAGTTATTGCTTCGCTCATACTTGGGCCTACTGCCGTGCACTTCATGTATCCAGTTTGTTAATGTAGCTCTTGATGGGCCCGCGTCAGTGCAGTAAGTGTGAAAAAGCCCTTCCTTCCATTTTCCTAATTTTCTTGAGCCTCCTGAGCTTGCACGCACCCTTGCATTTTGAGGATGCTGAACTGTGTTTAATGGCGCTCTTGTACTTAGCGTATCACGCGGCTAAACTTACGTAGACATTCAAGTGGTCGCCACTATCAAAGAAAAGCTGTGATCTCAAGCTGAATCAAAAGAAGAAAGCTGCGGTCTCAATTGTTGCAGAGTTCAAAAGCAAAGGGATAACAATAATTACAGGCTTATTCTTGTTGGTCAAAAGGAGGGGGAAAAAAAAACAATCAGACATTTTTGACCCCCTTGGATGCTTTTTGGACCTATCAACAATTTCACACTGCTCGCCTTTTCAAATTTTTATTCAGTAGTGTTCATATGTTGTATTCTTGATGATTTATATAAGGATTTTTTTTGCAAAATAGACCTATTTTGTTAAATATTTAGCAAAATAGACCGTTCTGTTTTGCTAAATATTTAGCAAAATAGACATCTTTTTTGCCAACAGGCAAAAAAGATATCGATTTTGCAAAACAGATCATTCGAAACATACGGGACAAGTAGTCCCGTATAATTTACTACTAGTCTCGTATGTTTCGAATGATCTGTTTTGCAAAATCGACATCTTTTTTGGCCTGTTGGCCAACAAGATGTCTATTTTGCAAAATTTTCCTTTATATAATCAATAATTGTATCCTGATCCGATTCAAAAAGGAAAGAGGAAAAATAAAAAATAGGAAATCAGGTGTAACTCTCTTTTACATCTCTCTTCCTCAAAGTCTCAAATATTTTTCAACTCCTAAGACGGAGAACACGTACGAACTATATTCCAATAAAAACAAAATATTCTATTCATGTTAATTAACTATGAATAATTTATAGAAATTATAGTTTTTTCATTCAATAAAATGCAGTTCCTAAATTCCTTTCACACTGTGGATATTTTATATAGAGTTTTGAATGTATAATAATGTTGCGTAGTTGTGCTCTATTATTATCACGCCATACTCTTGCAATTTAGTTTTTTTGAGCATGACTTCTTATCCTCGCACATTTCGCCATCATAGACTTTGTGAACCTCCCATTTTTTGAAATAGAGTCATCCTCTGATAATTTACACTATCTCGTTGAGTTTTGATAACGTTACGTTATCCAAATATATAAATGTAATAAAGAATTGTTTCTCACGAACTTATCTGCTTGATTTTTTTTTCCCCACGTCCAAGCAGTCATTTTCTTAAACATTATCCAGCCTCTTGTTTGTTGTTGATAACTATAATACATGCGTATGTATAATATTTCATGACATAATTGTGATATTTTTTATAATTTTCTTACACGAATTAGAATTTTGGAATTATTATCCGATAGTAGCATTATTATTGTACCTGCAAAATGCGCGTGCAATGGATATCAAAACCGAACTGTTCTACGTTTTTTTTTCTATACAAAAGTGGTAAAATTTTAACACCCTAATTAAAGTATCATAGATATTTCTAAGATATGTTTATGATATTTGTTCATTTAAGCATTCCATGTTTTATCTTAGCTTATTCGAATTACGTTATGATGTATTTATATTGGAGCATATTTTTTGTGTGTTCATTTACACGGAAAAGAATTTATCATCTGGTATTTATGCATTTTTCTAAAAAAAAATTCCCAATGACCCAAAATATAGGATCAACAGGGAGGACAGGTGAGGTGTCCACCTCCTATTGTATAATGAGCTGACCATCATTAATGATGGTAAGCTCATTATGCAATAGGAGGTGAACACCTAACCTGTCCTCCCTGTTGGTCCCATATTTTGGGTCCATGTAACAAAGCTCTTTGTGTGAATTTGTCAAATCGCCCTCATGTCTTTTTGTGAGATAAAGAGCATTGTTTTCCCAAATTTTACTATCTTCACCGTGTTTTTTTTAAGATAATAAATAATAAATATAGATATTCGGGGATAATCCAAGGGGGGGCGGGGGGTGGTGAGGATGCCGATGCTAGTCGTCGAAGACTCAGGAGGCTGATAATTGCGTAGGCGTAACAGCAACCAATATTATATTATTCCCTGTATTTTCAACCCATAAGATCTCAACACGTGTACGGCTCATATCAACCCTCTTCCCTCCCTACCTCTATAAATTTAGTTCAAATCCTCAACCTCTCTTAATTAACACGGAGTCTTATAAACTTACAGAAAGAATCATTTGATTTAAAAGAGTTTATTTCTCCAAGATTTCTGTTTGCAAAAAAAAAAAAAAATGTCTTGCTGTGGTGGTAACTGCGGGTGCGGCTCTGGCTGCAAGTGTGGCAACGGCTGTGGAGGGTACACGTCATATTTTCATTTTGATGGGGGTTTTAAATAAAATACAAGGGTTTAGCTTCCTTCGGTTATGAATGTTATGGTGTTGTTTTGTAATAAACTGAATTGTTCCGGGTGCAGATGCAACATGTACGCTGATTTCGGCGAGGGAAGGAGCGCCGCTGTGACCGTGGTCACCGGTGTCGCACCTCAGAAGGGGTCCGTTTTCTTTCTTTCTCTCCGTTATTTGCAATTTTAATTTAGAAATTACAAAATCCCTGTTCTGAAAGCTATTTTGTAAAAGAGAATTAATTAGAGTAATTTTTCTAAGGAAAATGATAGGGGCACACCCCCAACCACATTCCAAACCACACCCCTTCTCTCACATGCTACAGTACTTAAAATCTCATGTGAGGTCCGGTGTACTATAGCATGTGAGAGAAGGGGTGTGGTGGGAGGTGTGCCCCTAGTGCCACCCTTCTCTAGCATCATTGTGGCCACATGTTTTTTTTTTTTTTACTATGAACCGCCACATGTTTCTCTTAGCCGGCTTCAAAATATTTGGGATAACAACTTTGTTATTGCTTATTGCCCGCGGTTACACGTTTTTATAAAATTCTAGGGAGAGATGGCAAAATGCTAGAATATGATTGAAGCTTATTTATTTTTATTTTTATTTTTAATTTGATATTTTGCAGGGGGTTTGAGGGTGTGGAGGCGGCTGAGGGAGCTGAAAATGGATGCAAGTGTGGATCCAACTGCACTTGCGACCCCTGCAACTGCAAATGAAACTAGGGACAACAAGATACATATATAAAAGAAATAAATTACTCGAGTGTGGTGTGCTGATGACGTGGAAATCTTAATGATGTATAAATAAGAGGCCATGGCTACTCTCTTTGAGGGTTTTCCTGGTTTTGTGTTTGTCAATCTTCGCTGGATTTGAATGTAAAATTCGGTTTCCATTTTAAGTAATTATATTGTATTATATTTGCGTGTAAATTGGCTGGTTGTGCTTCTGTGTTGCTTGGTTTTCATTATGTTGAAATATGAGGAGTTCGACCACGATGCATAATATTTACATAAAAGTAATAACAAAATGTATAATATTGTAGGGAACAGTATATATATCAAAGTCACTACTGCAAATTGAAATGAACCAGCATAAATCCAAGTATGTACGCAAGAGAAACTAGCACATAAATACAAATATGTACATAACCTTAGCCGATTAAACTACATAAATCCAAATATGTATGCAAGTGAAAACTTGTACATGTTTCTCAAGAAAGAGCGATAGTAATCTTGTTGTCGTCATTTACAAACTTAATGCGAAATTTGAGGTTTAAAACAAAGTTGCTGTTAGAATTGGGGGTGGAAACCAACCTCCGCCGGCGACGAGGAGCTCCGACGAGCTCGGAGATGACGCTGGCGAAGTCGACGGCGAACCCCCCAGGCGAGCTCGAGCCCCGCAAGTCGAAGACGCGACCCTCGAGCGAAACGCGACGCTGGCGAACGCCCACCTGACCCGCGCGTCCAAGCTCGTCGACCCGCGCGTTTGGGAGATGCCGACCCCCGCGTTCTTGGCGACGCTCGCGTCCCACTTGTGCGCTGGTGACAGGCTGTCGCCAGCCCCCATCGGATCCGCCTATAAAAGCCCCTTTGCGATGCCCTAGCCGATTGCTTTTTCCCCCTTTTTCGTTTTTTCTCTGGCGGCGACCAAAACGCAGAAGCGTTTTCTTTTTTCCAGCACTTGGGACTTTAGATCTTGAGGGGAATTTAAAACAGAGAGAGAGAAATTAATTAAGGGTTCTTTATTCCTTTTGAAAGGGGTATTCTCAAGAGAGAAATTGAAAGGGTTTATTCCCTTTAATTATTAACATTGTAGCTACAGTGTTTATTTGAGAAATATCAGTTTGAGATTTGCTCTTCAATTGTAATTTCTTGTTTGATTAATAAGAAATTAACTGTGTGGCTCCCGAGGACATAGGCAGTTGCCGAACCTCGTTAAATCTTGTGTACTGTTCTCTATTCTGCGTTTCTGTTGCATTAGGGATTTCGGTTTTAAATTCCCAACAACTGGTATCAGAGCTTGAAACGGTCTAGAGGAAGTCAGATTCAAGTGGGAGCCATGGCCGCAGATGAAGGGAAAATAAGACTTGAGAAATTTGATGGAACAGATTTTGGATTCTGGAAAATGCAGATAGAGGATTATCTGTATCAGAAAAATCTGTATCAACCACTATCGGGGAAGAAGCCAGATTCTATGAAGGAAGAAGAGTGGAACCTTCTAGATAGACAAGCCCTCGGAGTTATCAGATTGACGTTGACTCGCAATGTTGCGTTCAACATAGCGAAGGAGAAGACCACGGCGGGTCTTATGGCAGCACTCTCAAACATGTATGAGAAGCCATCAGCCGCGAACAAAGTTCATTTGATGCGGCGGTTATTCAATCTGAAAATGGCGGAAGGCGCGTCAGTAGCACAGCACCTCAATGAACTTAATACGGTTACAACCCAATTGAGTTCAGTTGAGATTGAGTTTGATGAGGAAGTTCGGGCGTTGATACTTTTGTCTTCCCTGCTAGAGAGTTGGAACGCTACAGTCACGGCAGTGAGTAGCTCGTCGGGAAACAATAAGTTGAAGTTCGACGACGTTCGTGATCTGGTTCTCAGTGAGGAGATCCGACGGAGAGAGACGGGTGAAGCTACAACCTCTTCAGTATTGCATACAGAGTCAAGAGGTAGAAATTCAACCAGAGGAAACGGACGAGGAAAATCAAACTTCAGAGGTAGATCAAAGGACAGGAGGTCCAAATCAAGGAATCCAAGCAACAGCTCGAAGGCTATCGAGTGTTGGAATTGTGGAAAGACCGGGCATTACAAGAATCAGTGCAAGAGTGCACAGAAAGAGAAGGAGGCAAAGGCAGAGGTGAATGTCACATCCACTTCAGGAGGAGACGACGCATTGATATGCTCTTTGGAGAGCAAGGAGGAATCTTGGGTGTTAGATTCAGGAGCGTCGTTCCATGCTACCTCTCAGAAAGAATTCTTCGAGAAGTATACCCCCGGAAAACTTGGATACGTATATCTTGGTGATGATCAACCATGTGCTATTGTGGGCAAAGGCGTAGTGAAAATTAAGTTGAACGGGTCAGTATGGGAGCTGAAGGATGTCAGGCATATTCCCGACCTGAGAAAGAATTTAATATCCGTAGGCCAGTTGGCTGGCGAAGGATACACCACAACCTTCCATGGAGGTGATTGGAAGATCTCAAAGGGCGCAATGACGATTGCCCGAGGCAAGAAGACTGGTACCCTGTATATGACAGCAGGTGCACATTGTTCGATCTCAGTTGCAGCTAGCAATGAGACCTCAAAGCTGTGGCACCAGAGACTCGGTCATATGAGTGAAAAGGGGATGAAAATCATGCACACAAAGGGGAAACTCCCAGGACTGCAGTCAGTGGAGATGGATATGTGTGAAGAATGTATACTTGGAAAGCAGAAGAGAGTCAGCTTTCAGACAAGTGGCAGAACCCCCAGGAAGCAGAAGCTAGAGCTCGTTCACTCAGATGTGTGGGGACCAACAACCACCGCGTCCATTGGTGGAAAACACTACTTCGTGACTTTTATCGATGATCACTCTCGGAAAGTATGGGTCTACTTTCTGAAGCATAAGTCAGAAGTATTTGAAGCTTTCAGGAGATGGAAAGCTATGGTCGAGAGGTTCCATTGGAGCACAGAATACCAGAGGAGGTATGGTGCGGAAAGGAGGTAAAACTCTCACATCTTAAAGTTTTCGGTTGTGTAGCTTACGTGCATATTAGTGATCAAGGCAGGAATAAGCTTGATCCCAAGTCAAAGAAATGCACTTTCATCGGCTATAGCGAAGATGAGTTCGGCTACCGCATTTGGGACAATGAAAACAAGAAAGTGATCAGGAGCAGAGATGTGATATTCAACGAGAATGTGATGTACAAGGACATGCACAAGACAGATGCCAGTGACTCAGAGAGTGAGTTAATATTTGTAGATGCAGATGATATCCTAGATAACCTCTATGAAAAAACTAATGTAGAAGGTCCTCAGTCAGAAGAGCCTGTTGGACAGAACGGTGCGCAGAAACCCGACGCACCAGTTCTGATATTAAGGAGAACTACTCGTCCTCCTGTGTCTAACAGCAGATACATGAATCATATGTTGCTGACAAATAGAGGGGAGTCTGAAAGTTTTGATGAAGTTTGTCAGAATGGAGATGCGAGCAAGTGGGGGTTTGCTATGAAAGAAGAGATAAAATCTCTGATCTCCAACCAGACATAGGAATTAGCTGAGTTGCCCATGGGGAAGAAGGCACATCACAACCAGTGGGTGTATCGAGTGAAAAAAGAACAGGATGGTTCCAGAAGATACAAAGCCCGACAAGTTGTTAAAAGATTTCAACAGAATATCCAAGGAAGTAAGAATCCAACGGATATGTTGACAAAAACAGTAGTCTTTCAGAAACTGGAGTTGTGCGCAATTTCAGTTGGCCTTCATCCATAGGTTATGAGGGCGGAGCCACACAGGAGGAAGTGCTTGTTGGGATAGCCTGCTAACGGCAGTTTGATCTCCAAGTGAGAGATTATTGGATCTGGGTGTGTAGCCCAAACTCACCTACAGGCGAGCTTCTCCAGGAGAGGACAAAGCTCAGGTGAGGGTGAGCTCCAGTCGGTGAGCTCGAGATCTCGAGAGTTGTAGGCGAGCTAGACGAGGTTACATGCACCAGCCAGAAGGTTTCTCAGAAGAAAAGAAGAAGAACCTGGTGTGCAGACTCAAGAAGAGCTTGTATGGCCTGAAACAAGCCCCAAGACAGTGGTACAAGAAGTTTGACGGCTTCATGCACAAGGAAGGTTTCCAGAAGTGCAACGCCGACCACTGTTGCTACTTCAAAAGATATCAGTCCAGCTATATCATCCTACTGCTGTATGTTGATGATATGTTGGTTGCAGGAGCAGATATGGAGGATATCAAGAGTTTGAAGCAGCAGCTGTCAAAGGAGTTTGACATGAAGGACTTGGGTCCAGCGAAGAAGATCCTCGGAATGCAAATCACGAGAGACAAGAAGAAAGGGTTCTTACGGTTGTCTCAGACGGAGTACATCAACCGTGTTTTGCAAAGATTCAACATGGGCGACGCCAAGCCTGTGAGCACACACTTGGCTAGCTATTTTCGTCTGTCGAATGATCAGTCTCCTCAGTCAGAAGAAGAGAAAGAGAGTATGGCTCAGGTTCCTTACGCCTCAGCTATCGGAAGTTTGATGTACGCAATGGTCTGTACGAGACCAGACATTGGCCATGCAGTGGGAGTGGTCAGCCGGTTTATGTCGAATCCAAGAAAAGCTCATTGGGAAGCGGTCAAGTGGATTCTGAGATATCTACGAGGCACCACACAGAAGTGTTTGCACTTTGGTAAGGGAGAGGTAGAAGTGCAAGGGTACGTAGATGCAGACTTCGGCGGCGAAGTTGATCACCGAAGAAGTACCACCGGCTATGTATTCACCGTTGGAACTACAGCTGTTAGTTGGATGTCACAGGTACAGAAGATCGTTACCCTATCCACTACAGAAGCTGAGTATGTTGCAGTGACTGAAGCCAGTAAAGAGATGATATGGCTTCAAGGTTTGTTGACAGAGCTGTGATTCAAACAGGAGAAGAATGTTTTGCACAGTGACAGCCAGAGTGCGATACACTTGACAAAGAATTCAGCATTTCATTCTAGAACGAAGCATATTGCGCTTCGGTACCACTTCATCAGATCCCTGTTGGAAGATGACGTGTTGAAACTGGAAAAGATTCCAGGAAGTAAGAATCCAGCAGACATGTTAACAAAGACGGTGACAGTTCAGAAACTGGAGTTGTGCGCAACTTCAGTTGACCTTCACCCGCGCGTTTGGGAGATGCCGACCCCCGCGTTCTTGGCGACGCTCGCGTCCCACTTGTGCGCTGGTGACAGGCTGTCGCCAGCCCCCATCGGATCCGCCTATAAAAGCCCCTTTGCGATGCCCTAGCCGATTGCTTTTTCCCCCTTTTTCGTTTTTTCTCTGGCGACAACCAAAACGCAGAAGCGTTTTCTTTTTTCCAGCACTTGGGACTTTAGATCTTGAGGGGAATTTAAAACAGAGAGAGAGAAATTAATTAAGGGTTCTTTATTCCTTTTGAAAGGGGTATTCTCAAGAGAGAAATTGAAAGGGTTTATTCCCTTTAATTATTAACACTGTAGCTACAATGTTTATTTGAGAAATCTCAGTTTGAGATTTGCTCTTCAATTGTAATTTCTTGTTTGATTAATAAGAAATTAACTGTGTGGCTCCCGAGGACGTAGGCAGTTGCCGAACCTCGTTAAATCTTGTGTACTGTTCTCTATTCTGCGTTTCTGTTGCATTAGGGATTTCGGTTTTAAATTCCCAACAGTTGCAAAGATCAAACTTTTTCTAAGACGAAGACATTATTCATCTCCATCCACCGAGGATTCCCCTCGCAGCTCTTTTAATCAAGTCTTGTACCTGCAGACAGAAAATAAATAGTCAAATTCTCTGCTTTTCTTAGATAAGAAGGTCATGTTCGAAGAGCAACTTAAAGAAATAGGCAATTTGCATCATATCGCTATCGAAAATAATTTACGGGATCATCTAAAAGGACTTGGATAATGATCTACCTGTTTGGATGAAAGGAATAAAGTCGAAGGTTAATTTGAAGATTTTCCCACATAGTAAGCGGCATCCGATATATAATTAATCACGACTAAAGCAAGTTTAGCATGTGAACAATAGGAGAACCAGAACTTTATGAACTGGGATATGACTTGAGGTTTGGGACTTTGGGCGACAATGAGAATACATACAAAGCCTTACAGGTAGAATGTCTCACAAATTACAGTTAAGATTATAGGCTAATTTCATCGATCTCTCAAGTGAGGTAATTGAGAAACTCGGCAGCAGTAGCCACAGCTCCCCCTCTGATGGCATCCACAATTATCTGATCTTTGTTCCTATTGCTGGCAGCAGATATAAGCGCACCCGTTACTGCACCTCCCACCATTGCATTTTTCTGCAAAACAATGGAGATGTAAAATGGTGGGAAAGAAATTCTTCGAGTGAAGATATGAATAAGAAATAGAGGCAATAGAAGGAATATATGAAAGCTGAAAAAGGTTCGACGATCCACTGCTTATGAAAAATAAGTACTCCAATCAAAACCAAGCTAAGGTCAGATACCGCTGTGTTGCCTGTAAATTTAAATGCATCTAAAGATATGGAGGTTTCAATTAACATCTTGCTAGCTCTCCACCCAATATAAGGGCGATTTTGAATTGTTTTGCCAAGGTTAACAGTCATATCATTATGAATGATGAAATGAGGAACGCTAAGAATGAGCATGAAACAATAGACCTGTAGTCCAACCATGCTTTGATCTTTGATGAAGGACCCCATTCAGTCTTTCAATTCTTAAGCTTGAATTCACTTCTATTATTAGCAAAAAGGTGCTCACGAGCACTCACTAAACATGATACACAAGATGGAAGAAATATGCCACTTAATATGCAGAAAATGGAGAAGTAATAATTACCCAGTCTCGGGTGCCGCGTATCCTTTCCATCCCATGCTCCATTCCCACATACACTCCAGCGACAGCTCCTATAAGCATAAGTTATAGTAATTTAGATAGCAATTTGCCAATTATATGAGTTTCGCATTTTATGATCCAAATTGCACAATGAGATGAAAAGACGAGCTCACCCCAATGGGCGCCTTCCTTGCACATCTTCTTTAACTGAAATGTAATAACAGTATCATTTAACTAGAATATGTAATCTTATTTGATGATAACCTATTGAAACATAATATGTAAATTATTCCTAAATTACGGTCTGAATCAGTGGACAAATAGTATTTTATGTGTGTGTGTGTGTGTGTGTGTGTGTGTGTGTACATATAGTCCATCTCCGCATATATCTGTCTCAGTAAAGCATCAGCATGTCTGAATTCAGAAATATGGTTGAAGGAAAGCAAAACTGTGTGCACTTCTGTCAAGAAAAAAAAGCATTTGTTTAAGACCAACAATTATGCTCCTAGTTTTTTAGCATAACTTCAGATAAGTCACAAAACCCAAGTATAGGAAGATTTATCAGCCTCCACAAGTTTTATTGCAAACTTAAACATGTGAGGAGTGAAATATACAGGACGCAGATTTTCAGGACAATATAAAAAAGATGGTCCAGAAATCACGATTCTCTAACTACAAGCAAAACAATGCCTTTTAACAATGAATTCATATTTTCAGTGGATTAAAACTCATATTTAACTAAAATCGTGGATTCAAACTCATAAAATTGTGAATTTTGAACTCCACATAACTACCTGTCATTCGGTCGAAACGAATGAAAATGAACAATAATCGTCGATCACGGCTCACAAGAATCATGAAATTTGAACTCCGCTTAGTTATTTGCTATTGGGTCAAAACATATGAAAATGAATAATAACCATGGGTTATAATAGCTTATGAAAATTTGGAGTTTGAAATCCAAAAATTATTTTCCATTGAGTTGAAATGAACAAAAATAGCCAAAAATTGTGGGTCATAGCTTACAAAATCATGATTTTAAACTGCACATAGTTATTTGTCATTAGATCGAAAAGAATAAAATGAACAAAAATCATGGGTTTTTTAACTCCGATTAATTATTTTTTATTTGATCGAAACAAATAAAAATGGACAAATTCACGTGAACTTTGAACTCCACGAAATTATGTCATTAGGTTGAAATGAATGTAAATGGACAGAAAAAATGTGGATTGTCGTTCATAAAATCATAAATTTTGAACTCTGCATAATTGTTTGTAATTAGGTCCAAACGAAAAAAAGAACAAAAATCGTGGATTGTATCTCTTGAAATCATGAATTTTAAACAGTACTTAATCATTTGCCATTGGGTCGAAATGAAATAAAAAGAATAAAATCGTGGATAATAGCTCATAAAAATTGAGAATTTTGAACTCAGCTTATTTATTTACAATTTGGTCAAAAATAAGGAAAATGTATAAAAATAGTGGGTTATAATTCATGAAAGTCATGACTTTTGAACACCGTTAAATCATTTGTCAATGGGTCAAAATGAAAAAAGGAACAATAATTGTAGGTTATAGCTCATGGAAATCATGAACTTTGAACTCCGCTTCATTATTTGCTATAGGGTTGAAACGAGCGAAAATGACAAAAATGAACAAAATTTGTGCATTATAACTCATGAAAATCGTGAATTTTAAACTCCGCTTAATTATTTTTCATCGGGTTGAAATGAAAGAAAAATAAACAAATATTGTGGGTTGCTCATGAAATCGTGAATTTTAACACCACTTAACTATTTGCCATTGGGTCGAAATGGTGGAGAAATAAAAAAAACGTGGATTATAGCTCATGAAAATTGTGAAATTTGAACTCCGTAGAATTATTTGCTATGAGGTCGAAATGAAATGGACAAAAATTGTGAGTCATAACTCAGGAAAATTTTGAATTTTGAACTCCTAAAATCATTTTTCATTAGGTTGAAATGATTGTAAATGAACAAAAATTGTGGGTGCTCATTAAATCATGAATTTTGAACTTCACAATTATTTGTCATTAGGTCAAAAAAAAATCATGGAGTTTGAAATATTATTAATTATTTGCTATGTGGTCAAATGAACGAAAATCACGAATTATAGCCATGAAATTGTAAATTTTGATCATCGCTTAATTATTTATCATTCAATCAACACAAAAGAAAACTAAACAAAAATCAAGGTGAATTATAGTACATGAAATTGTGAATTTTGAATTCTGCGAAACTATTTTCCATTGAGTCAAAGTGACTAAATGGACAAAAATTATTGGGCTCATGAAATCGTGAATTTTTGAACTCCGCATTATTATTAAATATTTGGTCAAAAAGAATAAAAATAAACAAAAAAATAGGTTATGCTCATAAAATCATAAATTCCAAAGTCTGATTAATTATTTGCTATTTGGTCAAAATGAAGATAGAGATCTTGGGTTAAGCTCATTCGATCGTGAATTTAGAAAACAAAATTATTTGCTAATGGGTCGAAATGAATGAAAATTAGTAAAAAATTATGGGTTATAGTTCATAAAAATCATGAAGTTTGAACTCCACTCAATTATTTTGCATTGGATCGAAACAAGAGAAAAATAAACAAAGATCGTAGGTTATTGCTTACAAAATTGTAAATTTTGAATAGCACTTAATTATTGCTATTGAGTCTGTTATGTGTATAACCCATATTTTATAATTGAGCTAGCTAGACCATGCTATATTAGTAGATGAATTTGTCAACATGCAACTAATTTAACTAGCTTAGTGTAGGACGGTACACTCAACATTTAACTCGGTCACAACCCATGTACCTGACCCATAAACCCAAAGAAGACGGTGGAGGCCCATGACAACTAAACTCATATCAATTCGATTACCATGCCTGACTTTCAGCCCGCTTGGTTCTATGATGATTTGCTTGATTAAAATGATTTATTCGAATCGTATCATATCCTCAATATATCATGTTCGGAGATATCAGTCAATAATCAATCTCTTTGATTAACAACTTTTATAACTTACCTGATTTACGTATACATCAACTATACCTTCCTCCACAGTCTGCACGTGGACTTACTTGCACGCCAAATAACTACCATACCACAACTATCATAACTACCTTAATCGACTGCACAGTGAGACATGAAATACCTAATTTGCCCACGTAATCAGTATAAATCTGCCAATTGCCAACAGGTAAAGGGAATCCATCCTCTAGATCTGAGATACATACATTACGCTAGGTACTACTGACCTCAGTCTAGAAGAACCTCTCAAAACCATAACCTACAAGCCTACATCTTTGACGTTTATCATCAAGCGTCTTTATTTGGCATTGAAGAGGTGCTTGTGGCCTGCCTTCGTCACTCTAACGTTTAGTTTGTGTATCACAGGCAATCTCAAGAGAATATCAACATCAGTTATTTGAGACGATTAGGGACCCTCAAAATCGAGTCTAATATTGCGGACTAAACCTATCAAGTTTTTCCTTGCAGCAACAAGGTTGAAACAAATAAAAATAAACAAAATCTAAGTGGTAGCTGATGAAATTGTGAATTTTAAACTCTACAAAATAAATGAACGTAAATGGATAAAATTGCAGGCTATAACTCATGAAATCCCTAAGTCTTAAACCATGCATAATTATTTATCATTAGGTCGAAACAAACCAAAATAAATGAAAATTGTGGGTTATGCTCATGAAAATCATGAATTTTAAAACCTAAACCTATCAGTCATTTGGGACGATCAGGGACCCTCAAAATCGAGTCTAATATTGCGGACTAAACCTATCAAGTTATTTACCCTTCGGTCGAAATGAACGTAAATGGATAAAATTGTAGGCTATAATTCATGAAATCCGTAAATCTTAAACCATGCATAATTATTTGTCATTAGGTCAAAACAAACCAAAATAAATGAAAATTGTGGGTTATGCTCATAAAATCATGAATTTTAACCTCTTATTTATTATTTGTTATTTGGTTGAAATGAACAAAAACGAACAAAATCATGGGTTATTGCTCATGAAATTGTGAATTTTGAATGAACAAAATTATTTTTTATAAGGTTGAAACACGCATAAATTGCAAAGATTAACGGTTATAGCTCATGAAATCATGAATTTTGGACTCCGCATAATTATGTCATCTAGTCGAAACAAACTAAAAAGAATAAAATTCATGGGTTACAGTTCATGAAAATTGTGAATTTTAAAATCTACATAATTATTTATCAGTAGGTTAGAGCGAACAAAAATGAGCAAAATTCGTAGGTTATAGCTGATAACATTGTGAATTTTAAACACTACTTATTTGTCATTGGGTTAAAATGAACATATGTAGACAAAAATTCTGGGTATAGCTTATGAAAATCATGTATTTTTGAACTCTGGTTAATTATTTGCTATTTGGTTGAAATGAAGAAAAATGGATAAAAATCATTGTTATAGCACATGAAATCATGAAATTTGAATGAAAAAATTATTTGCATCGAGTCAAAATGAATGAGACTAAAATCATGGGTTATAGTTCATAAAATTATGAATTTTGAACTCAGCCAAATTATTTGTCAATGTGTCAAAATGAATGTAAATAGACAAATTTTGTAGGCTACAGCACAAGAAATCGTGAATTTTGAATTCCGCATAATTATTTGCTATTGAAATCCACATAATTATTTCCTATTAGGTCGAACAAAAAATGAATAAAAAATGTGGGTTATGCTCATTAAAATCATGTATGTTGAACTTTGATTAATTATTTGCTATTTGGTTAAAATGAACGAAAAAGGAAAAAATCATGTTATAACTCATGAAATCGTGAATTTTTAAACGTCATTTAATTATTTGCTATTAGATCAAAATGAAAGAAACATGAACCAAAATCATGGATTATAGCTCATGAAAACTGTAAATATTGAACTCTACTTAATTATTTGATTTTATGTCAAAACGAACAAAAATGAACAAAAATCGTGGGCTATAGCTCATAAAAATCGTGAATTTAATTTTGCTTAATTATTTTCCATTGAGTCGAAACGAAAGAAAATGAATAGCTCATGAGATCAGAAACTTTGAACACCGCTTGATTATTTGCTATTTGGTCGAAATAAAACAAAATTGTCCAAAAAACATGAGTTATAGGTCATGAAAATTGAGAATTTTCAACTCCGCAAAATTATGTCATTGGGTTGAAATGATAAAAATGAACAAAAATCATGGATGCCCATGAAATTGTGAACTTTAAACTCCGCGAAAGTATTTTTCATTAGGTTAAAATGAACATAAATGGAGAAATTTTTTTAGGTTTTATCTCATAAAATCGTTAAGTTTGAACTTATTTCTAATTAGATCGAAACAAGAAAAATGAACAAAAACAAACGAAAAACATGAGTTATGTTCATGAAAATCATAAATTTTAAATTTTGATTAATTATTTGCTATTTGTTCAAAATTAACGAAAATGTAGAACTGTGTTATAGTTCATGAACTCGTGAATTTTTTATGAACAAAACTATGCGCCACCGGATCGACATAATGAATCGAAATGGAAAGAAATCATGGATTATAGTTCATGAAAACAATGAATTTTGAACTCTACTTTATTATTTTCAAGGGGAAATTGCTTCCACCTCCTATCTTTTCAAATCAACTATTCAACCCAGGTTTGAAATGTCACATCCTTTTAC